AAATATCAAATATTTTTGTCGTGAAAAGATTTATCACATAAAATATACCTTGGAAAAGAACTTTCTGAATATCAAAAAGGAGAAATTATCTCAGCAAAAAAGTTGGGGAATACAGATAGTGAGGTTTCTGCAATTGTTGGTTGTTCTCATTCTTCTGTAACACGTGTATGGAAGTCATATAAGTTAGAAAAACTTTCTAAGAAACAAACAGGCCTATCACAAATTCTTAACGAATATGCATATAAACAACTCAAGAATTTAGTAATTGAAAATAAAAAAACCCACTGTCAAACCCTTTCTCAAATACAACAAAATTTTATTAAAAACACCAATATATCTATTTCTACACAGACTATTTGAAATGAATTAGCTCAAGAAGGGCTTCACTCACACGTTCCTTATTTTAAACCATTAATTTCTAAAAAAAACAAAAAAAAAATATTTGCAATGGGCCCAAACTTACAAAAATTGGACAATAGAGGATTTTAAAAAAATTTTTTGATTTGATAAGTCTATATATACACAGTTTAGAACTACAAGTTTTGGACATGTGTGATGTAAATCTTTTGAAGAGTTTCATGAGAATTGTATTGCAATTACAATTAGAAAAAGCTTTGGTCATATATTTTAGGAGTGTTTCTTATGAATTGGTATGGATCTTTTAGTTTCTTTGGTTGATCGTGTTACTGGAATGGTGTATCATAAAATCCTGGCTAATTATGCAATTCCTATAATTAAACTTCATGCAAAAAAAAATAAAAATAATTTTTTTTTTTCAAGAAGATAATGTGCCAATCCATATCTCAAAAGTTACATATTTATTTTTAACCTCCTCAAATATCAAACTACTTTCTTGGTCAGTACAAAGCCCTGATATTACTTCAATAGAAAATATTTGGTCATATATTGAGATTAGAATTTGTCAATATGATTTACAACTCTTAAATATTGAGCAATTGGAACAATAGGTTAAGGAGGAGTAGGACGTGATATCTATAAATTATTACTATAATTTGATAAAGTCTATGCCACATCAAGTTCAAGCCATTATTAAAGCAAATAGAGGCCAAATGAAATACTGACCTGTATTTTAATATGATAAAAAAAAAATAAAAGTTTATAAGTTGGTTATTTTATATGATGTATTACAAAAATGTCCAATACTTTTTATACCCCCTTGTATATAATTACTGAACTTAATATATAAATAAACCATAATTATATCAAAAAGAAAGGAGAGATCATTGGAAAGAAAATTAATAAAAATTATTTTTCAACCATAATCAAATCCACCTTATCTATAATAAAAACATTTACCTTCATTATACAAATCTTAGCTTTTCATTAGCAACAAACTTGCTAATATCAATGACACTAGACATTTAATATCTTAGACATCTCAACTTTAAAATCTTCTTAAAATTTATATAATCAATCATTTAACAATAACATCATAGCTTTTCTTCATCAACAAAAAGAACTATTTTTGAAAAAGCAAGACAAAAACAATTATTTCAATATATTGAAATATCTATACTTAATTCCTAACAATAATTTACTTTATATAAAAACTCACAATATTATAGATATCATATATACATCAAATCAAGAAATTTTAATACAAGAAATCAGGAAAAACAAAATAGATATCTTAGGTCTATATAAAATCAAACTTATCCAAACCAATCAATTATTTGTATTTCAAATAATAAAGACAAATACAAGTGCTTTACAAGCTCATGTTTACAAAATCCTATAAATATAGGTGTTTTTATACTAATATGTAAGGAATTGGAAAAAAACATTGTCAAGATAGACAAAATAACAAAATATTTAGTAGCTATTAACTTCTTGAATAAGAAATAGAAAACATGAATAGTACAAATATATCTTTTCTGTAACAAAACAAAGAGTCTAAATATCTAAAGAAAATTCAAACAATTATTCAAGATAAGATCCATTAACAATTTCAAATTATTATAATGGATAATTTCAATACTATTGTTAATTTCAGACTTGACTGTAAAAATATAGGCTTCAATAATATATTTACTCTAGTAGAAGATCCTAAAGCTCAACTTAAATCTAATAAATCTTTATCAACTCTAGGATAACAACAAATCTTTTTATATATGGATAAACAAAAGAAGTTCAAGTAGAATCATTTATATTTGGATTTACCATCTATAGCCAACAACATACTCAGTTTTAAAAACACTAGCTTTATGGAAATAATCAATAGTGATTATATTTTTTTAGAGCTTCATATAGAAAGAGAATCAATAATATATATATCAGTACATCAACAGAAAACTATTAAACACCAATATAAAAAAATAATTAATTTCAGCAAGATAATAGATAAACAATAGAAGAAATTTAAAGACAAAATTGAAAACAAAACTCAAAAGCTCAAACTTCAAGAAAATATAGCAAGCCCCAATAACAAAATAGTAAACATATAAAGTCAAAACTTTCAGATTCAAAACCTATAGAATGAATTTAAAAGAACAATAATCTTATCAGTGTTTAACAACCTTTATAGTAAAATAAAACTCTTAAAGAATATCAAAATACAAAAAAATACAAAACAACAGAGAAGACCTGTGAATCTATAACACAATCGGTAATGCTTCCAGGTTTTCAAATGCATGTCCCTAATTCAATACCCATAGGAGGCAAATGCACAAAAATTATT